TTATTATCATAAACTACTTCTGAATTAAATAAAATAGTAAGCAACGGAGTCCAATTTTTAATAAATAAATACAAAATCTATTAACAATTTTAAATAAATAAACACAAACTAATGAGCAAAAAGTAAATAAAATCAAACTATTTTTCTTTATTTTTATGTTTAACGCCGAATATTTTTCTTATATTCCAATTTTGCGGATTTGCCACTCTTTCAAAATAAGCGAATCAGATTGGCCAATTTTAATGGCTATTCTGTGCTTATAGTGGGTTTGTAAAGTCGCATCCGGATACAAGTTATTTTGATGAAATTAATTCCCCAGAATTTGGAAGCTCTTACTTTTATCCTAATAAAGTTAGCAGTTTTTTAAAAAACGACAATAAAAGTGATTATCTTAATGTAGTCCACGTAAATACGTAGTTTAAAAAAGAACTTTGAAAATTTTTAAAATTTTATTTGTGAAACGGAAAATTCTTTCAACTTAGTTTGTTTAACTAAGACCTGGTGTTTGCAAGCAGATTTTGAAAATAACTCAAACCTTTATATTCCAGGTTTTGATCCAATAGTTTTAGAACGAAATACTAATAAACGAGGTGGAGGAGTTTTAGAACGAAATACTAATAAACGAGGTGGAGGAGTTTTATTTTTTGTGAAAAATAATCTTGTTTATAATATTAGAAGCGAAATATGCGTTTCTGACGAAAACAACGAGATTTAAACAGTAGAACTTATCAATAAGCGTTCAAAAAATATGCTCCACATTGTCACGAAAAGGCAATCAACCTTAACCAGACGCAGATTCGCAGACGAGAAGAAGGGGAGGATGCACCTATCCCAAGGCTCTTTGATTTCAGCACCATCTCAATTCAGCGTGCCGCAACAAATATTCCTTGTAATTGTTTGATTTGTCAAACTGCAAGGACAAATATGAATCAGCGTCATCCTTTGGAACTACCGAAACCCAAAGAAAATTCAAGCATTGAAAAATAGTGCTCTGATTGCTTCTCTGTGATTGGTCGTGGATTGCCTCACAATTGCACAACAGGAACATTAAGGCAAAATTTAGTGGAAGTTGCTTCGAGGGGTCGCATTGCGGCAGAGAGGGTAGCATCATTAACAATTGCTAATAAAACTCCAGGAGTCAAACGGCAACTTCTGGTGGCAATTTCAGAAGATCTGCCAGAGAGTTATGACAACTTGAAAAGCATAATTTCTTCTCTTCAACTTCACAAACTTTCCTACATAATCTCTTGTGACATGAAAGTCTCCAATCTTGTTTGTGGTCTTCAGTCCCATGCAAGTGCACATCCTTGTTCATGGTGTGATGCAGAATCAAAAGATTTGAGTCGCTCTGGAAGTCTCAGAACACTTGGTTCAATTCGAGAAAACTTTCTGCAGTTTCAAAGCAGTGGTGCCAATGCAAGGAGAGCAAAAGACTTCAAAAACGTCATCCATGAACCCATAATGACTCTGCCAGATGACACACTGATTTTGGACATCATTCCTCCCATGGAACTTCATCTGCTTCTTTGAGTCGTTAACCATCTCTACAAAAATTTTGAACAAAAAATTTTACAGTTTCAGGAGTCGTACCTGAATTTGCCAAATACTTCAGTCACTCCCAAAGCACATGCGGTGTTTTTCCACCTGAAGGATTTCATCCTTAGACACAGTTCTAGTCTTGGCATTTTCTCAGAGCAAGCTACAGAATCTCTTCATCACGACTTCAGTTCCCATTGGCAGCGTTACAAACGGGCAAGAAACCATCCAGAATATGAATCAAAGCTTCTGAATTGTGTGATTGATTTCAACAGCAAACATTCATTTTAGAATAAAAAGGATCAATTTTATTGTAAAATATGTTTTTGTTTATATGTCTTATAGAAATATATGGGAAAATTAACTTTTTGCTCTATAAGTACTGAAAAAATGCCAAATTCCTATCATCTCGTTTAAATTTTGATATGCCAGAATTGAAGAAAATAAAAACTAAAATATCTCTCTCGGACGTCATAGTTCGATTTCCAAATTTATATCTAAGTGATCTACTATATGTGGGCTATCATCCCACCAAAGGGTTTTCTCGGGACATGAGGTTAAGGTTGATGACCATTTCGTGACACTGTGGCTCATAAGCTGTTGCTACAGGCCACCTGCTGGAAGAACCGAAAACCTTTGTAACTTTATACTAAAAAATATAAAAATGAAAAGCGATCTTAAAAAGAAAAAGTATTACTTGATAGGAGATTTTAACATAAACTCCTTCGAATATTATGAAAATCAAAACACTAGAAAATTTTTTAACGATCTGTTCGAAACTGGAACAATGCCATTAATTAAGCGACCGACCAGAATCACAAACCATTCATCATCATTAATTGACAACATTTTTACTACTGACTTTTTTAATAAGTTGCTTAAAAAGGGAATAATAAAAACAGATCTTTCCGATCATCTCCCTATATTTTTCTCATTAGAATTAATCGTAAAAAAAGAGAACCATGTAAAAATCACAATAAAAAAATGGCTTTTCAATATTAATAATTTGAATTCCTTTAGAGAGCAGTTATCACTTATAAACTGGGACTACATCAATTTTAATGATAATATTAACATAATCTATGATCAATTTTTCAAAACTTTTTATGCAGTTTATGATTCAAATTTTCCTCTACGTGAAATAGTCTTAAAAGCCAAAGAGATATCATCTCCTTGGATTACAAAGGGTCTCATAAAAACCTCAAAAATTAAACAGAAGTTATATGTTAAATACCTAAAATCAAAATCAGAAAAATACAAACAAAATTACTTAAATTATAAAAACTTATTTGAAAAGCTTTGTAAAAATTCAAAAAAAATTACTACTTAAACTTGCTAAGTAAATACAAACATAACTCGAAAAAGGGTCTGGCAAGTCATGAAAGAGGTGACTGGAAAACATAAAACAAGTACAAATTTACTGCCAAATATAATGAAAATTGAAAACAAGTTATTTAATGATCCAAACAAAATTGCATTCGAATTAAATAAGTTTTTTACAACAATCAGAACAAAATTATGCAACAATATTCCATACATTAAAGAAAAAGCTATTGATGAATATGAAACTCTATTAAGCTCAACTCTAAATAATACTGAGTTAACTTTTGATGAATTTGAAGTTGCTTTCAAGTCATTAAAACGAAATAAAGCAACTGGATACGATGAAATTAACGCAAATATTGTAATAGACTCCTACGATGTTATAAAAAATATCACATAAGGGTCCTTTCCAGATAAACTGAAAATAGCAAAAATAACTCCAATCTTCAAGACCGGCGATCGTACAAAAAGAACAAATAATCGCCTTATCTCGGTTCTTCCAGTTTTTTCAAAAATATTAAAAAAAATAATGTTTAATCGAGTCTATTCTTATCTTATTGAAAATAAAATATTGCATGAAAATCAATTTGGCTTAAAAATAATAATTCAACCGAACATGCCGTTATTCAACTTACGCGCAACATTGCAGATTCATTCAAAGACTCTCATTTACATTAGGGTTTTTTATTGACTTGTCCAAAGCATTTGATACCGTGAATCACCAAATCCTATTAAAAAAAACTTATGTCTTATGGTATTAAAGATAAAACTCTGCTTTGGTTCAAAAGTTACCTTACAAACCGTAAACAAATTGTCTTCAATAAAGATTCCACATCTCGTGCATTTATGAATATATCATGTGGAGTTCCGCAAGAATCCATACTTGGTCCACTTTTTTTTTTAATATACATAAACGATCTTCATAAATCTTCAAACCTAACAACAATAAATTTTGCAGATGGTACAAATTTATTTTTGTCTCATGAAAATATTAATATACTATTTACTGATATGACAAATGAATTGAAAAAAGTTTCTGTTTGGTTTAAACAAAATAGATTGTCCCCTCAATATTGAAATAACGAAATGGACACTCTTTTATCCGCCTTCTAAAAAATAAAAACTTCCACATATCATGCCAGATCTTTTAATCGACAAAGGTTACAAAGTTTCTTGGAATATATATATAAAAGGTTACAAAGTTTCTTGGAATATATATTGACGAAAATATGTCCTGGAGGTATTATATAGATGCTACTTCCACAAAAATTGCAAAATGCATCGGAATTCTTTATAAAGCAAGGAATATATTAAGTAAACATCAGTTAACACAATTGTATTATTCATTTATTCATTGTCTTATAAACTATGCAAATAGTATATGGGGAAGAACCCGAGCATGCACACGGACGTCCAAAAGACGTCCATGGACGTCCGAAATTGGACGAACGGACGTCCATAAGACGTCCTATGGACGACTTAATGTAACGTCACTCGTCCGTCCATTTTGGATGTCTATAGACGTCCTATGGACGACTAAATGAAACGGCATTCGTCCGTCCATTTTTCAGTCTATAGACGTCCATGGACGTCTGAAATATTTTTCAAAATATGTCTGATAAGTAAGTAGATGTTCTATATAGATATTCTAAATAGATATATCTGTGTGTCTAGATCGAACTACATCTATGACAGATATATCTATTTATTTATCTATCTATCTATCTATTTATCTATCTATCTATCTATCTATCTATCTATATATATATATATATATATATATATATATATATATATATATATATATATATATATATATATATATATATATATATATATATATATATATATATCATTTAAAAAATATATATATATCTAAATATATATCATTTTAAAATCTATATATCTATATATATCACTCTCTCTCTCTCTCTCTCTCTCTCTCTCTCTCTCTATATATATATATATATATATATATATATATATATATATATATATATATATATATATATATATATATATATATATATATATATATATATATATATATATATATATATATGTATATATCATTTTAAAAATTCTGGTCAAAATTTCAAATGCTTATAAAAACAGGTGTGCTAAACGTAAAACAACTGAAATATGTAAAAAACATTTACTTTCAAAAATAATAAATATACAAAGCAACAATTTTATGTTGCTTCTTCCTCTTCGTGAACGTCAACATCGTTAACTATTTTTACTTTCGGCAACGCCCGCTTCAATAAATTGCCAACAAGGGCTTCAATAGTTGCGGCATCATAACCGGTTCTTTCGGATACTAAGCCTTCTAAACAAACAAAAAACTAAATTGCAATTGTTTGTCTTCTGAACAAAAAAATGGTTTTTATATAAACAGTTTAAAAACTTATAATACTTAAATAAAATGACTTTTTTTTAAATTCAACTTAGGAAAGTACAATGCAATTATTGCAGGGGCGGATCTAGGGTACGTCTAGTACGTCTTAAGATGTACCCAAAAAAAAAATTAAATAAAAAAAAAAAAATTAATTTACGTTTCAATTATAAAAATAACTTTTTTGGTTAACTGTCAGCTCAAATAAGATTTAATTTTATAGGCACTTGTGAAACAAGAAATACGAACGGTTCTTGTTTAAAGTTCTTGTTAAAAAGATATCTGTCTTTGCCGGAGGTTTAAGCAATTCTTGATAAATAATATTTAATTAAATAAACGAATGGACGTCCCCAATTTTATTTTATTATAAAATAAAAAATTATTTTAAATTTGTATTTGGTTTGTTAAAACAATAAATAAATAATATCTTTACTGATAATTATTTTTGGACGTCCCCAAACTGGTACACCCTTATTAAAATATTGTCAAAATCTTTTGTTTTGTGACTATCAGGAGGTAAAACTAATGATAATATCCTATAAATAATAAGATACACCAATAGACGTCCCCAATATTATTTTATTTTATTATTTATTTTTATATTTAATTTAGTTTTCAATATTTAATTTCTAAATACTCGGTTTCTTTTATAAAAAAACACTGCCGGACGTCCCTTCGTTAATACACCCTGAAATACATGCCTTATTCCTAATATTTAAAATGTTGTTTAATGTTAAAAATTCAAGCATTTATTTGTGTGTTCGAGTATTAATTTAAAATGTCACTCAATCAAGAAGTTAAAAACATTATGCTACAAAATGATGAAACAAAATTGATCGCTTTGAAAGATATATTACAAAAAAATATTAGTTTCTTGTCGAAACTTGTCGACTCTTGCGAAGAAGAAAAAACTCTTAAAAATTTTGAAATCTATCTGCCAAAGAGTTTTAAAAAAAAACATAATGGCAGTTATGTTGTTTTAAGGTAAAGGTATTTGTTCAAATTCCATGATTTTTTTAATAACTTTTTAATTAGTTGTAATGTTATATTGACTGTAAGCTAGTTGAAAATACTTATAATTTTTTTATATAAGTTCATTAATTATTATATTTTATGTATATCTCAGGTCTCAATCAACTGGAAACTGTCTGTGCAGTTCTATCTCCTTACGTCTTACTGGAAATAACTGTATAGTTAACGATTTAAGATTACAGACCTCAATTGAGCTATTCTTAAATGCCGAGTTTTATTCTAACCATCCAACTTTTAATTATGCTTTTATTAACAATAATAGCTCTTTTCTTTGCTATGATAACATTCTTCCTTTATCAGTATCACTAAATTCTTTGGATTCTGGAAAAAAAAGTAAATTTAGTTAAAGAAGAAGCTATTAACAATTGTAACAATGAAAACTGGTCTTCTTTCCTTTGTATTTTTGCATTATCAAGTGTTTGCAACAAGAAAATAGAATGTTTGTATCCAGATTTTGGTCTACAGAAGTATAAAATTTTATTCAGCTCAACTATTTTACCTCGTATAACTTCCTTAAACACTATTGAGTCTTTACATCTCCTTTTTTGTTATGAAGGTGTATTAAATGATTTTTCCGCTCCTTTTCAACACAACCATTATACCCCTGTGATAATAAAAGAAAACTTAAAACGAAAAAATTTAAACAAAAGCTGCAAAATGTCGCAGACTAAAATAAAATTTTATTTCGAGACCAAACATCAAGATAATAACTATTCGTTGGACAATTTAAAAAGTAAACCCATGGAAGTCTCTAGTCAACCCCCATTATCATTATCAAATTTTAGTAAAATTACATGTTGCGAATCATTTTCTTTACCTTCCAATAATTATGATATTGGTTATTTGGTTTCTAACTATACTAGTTATTCAAGTATTGCAAAAACCTTGAGTAATTCTGAACTTCAACATTTAGTTAAAGATGTTTTTGTACCTTGTAAAACATTTTCCTTTCCTAAAAATCTTAATGGGCGAAGTTTTCAATTTATGTGGATAGAAAAATTTCCATGGGTCACATATTCGAAAATATTCGATGGAGCCTTTTGTTTGCCATGTGTACTTTTTGGGTGTAATTTTCCATCTGAATGTAGTTTAGTCGAAAGATTATTTTGTAAGCCTTTTGATCGCTGGAATGATGCTTCTCGTTACTTTCAGAAACATGCATTTGGCAAAAACAATAATAAGTCTGTCTGCAGAAATAAAGGCTTACATGTAAAAACTGCTAAAGTTTTATTTTCATTGTCGTCGATTTGGTCTTCTAAAACAGAATCAATAGATATTACATCTCAAAAAATAGTTCAATCACAGGTTTCTAAAAACCGACAGTTATTACAACCAATTATTGAAACAATTATTCTCTGTGGACGTCTTGGTCTTTCTTTACGAGGCCATAGAGACGATTCAGAGTTTCATCCTGAAAATAGTGAGTCTTTTAATCATACTGTTGGAAATTTTATTGAATTATTGCATTTTCGTGTTAAAGCTGGTGATAAAGTTCTTGAAGATCATCTTAAATATCATCAACTTCTTACATATCTAAGACATGCTACATATCTAAGACATGCTTCTTACATATCTAAGACATCACAAAATCAGTTAATAAGGTGTTGTGGAGAAGTTATTACTGACACAATAATAGGAGAAATTAAAAATTCTAAATATTTTTCTATTATTGCTGATGAAGCTTCTGACAGTTCAAACAAAGAACAGCTATCATTAGTTATACGGTTTGTTGATTCAAAGTTTAATATAAGAGAAGAATTTATCAGTTTTTTACATTGCACAAATGGTGTTACTGGTCAAGGATTATTTGATATTTTGTTGAAAAGTATTTCAGATTTTTCTTTAGAAATCATGAATTGCGGAGGACAGTCATATGATGGTGCTGGAGCAATGGTTGGTCACACCAAAGGATTGTCCTCTCGTATTTTAATTCTAAATGAAAAATCTACATTTGTTCATTGCTATAGCCATAGGCTTAATTTATTTATTTGTGGCTCGTGCATTGTGCAATATGTCAAGAATCTTCTGGCATATGTTAAAGAGGTATCATATTTTTTCAATCTTTCACCTACCAGACAACAAAAGTTAGAGGAACACATTGAATGTACTGTTCCAATAGCTGTTAAAAAAAAATTAAAAGATGTTTGCAGAACACGTTGAGTGGAAAAAGTAAATGGTTTAGATACTTTTCAAGAACTTTTTATTCCTTTGGTCTCTTGTCTTGAAGAAATGTCTTTAAATGCCAATAAGAGTTTTAATCATTCAACAGCTTCTAGTGCATCATCCCTTCTGAAACTAATTACAGGTTTTGATTTTATTGTTGCTATGTGCATAACAAGAAATGTGTTTGACTTAACTCTTCCCATAACGCGAATGTTGCAGTCAAAGAGGAATGATATATTTATGATGGTTTGAATCTTATTCAGGCGTTAAAAGATGTTGTGATTTCACTTAGAAATATCGTTGATCAACACCATAAAATGTGCTATGAACAGGCTTTAATGTAGCTGAAGCAAAGCCAAGAACTTCATTTATTTCCAAAAACAGAGATAATACTCCTTCTGAATCTATTTCTGATTATTTTAAGTTAGTTATCACGATTCCTTTATTAGACCATCTAAGTGTTGAACTAGACACAAGGTTTGATGATACTACCTTAAAATGTTATAAAGCACTTGTGCTAGTTCCTACAAAAATGATTTCAGTAGTGCAATGTTCTCATGACACCAGTTGGAAAGACTCCATCATCTCTTTCAGTGACTTTTACGCAACAGACTTACCGAATCCACTTGCTTTGTCTGGTGAGCTTGATTTATGGGAAGCCTTCTGGTTAAATTTTGAAGGAGATGTCCCTTCTAATATTTCCGAGACGTTAAAAGCGATAAATTTTCCTGGTTTTGAAAACATAAAAGTTTGTCTTAAGTTACTTGCTACCTTTCCATTAACTTCATGTGAGTGTGAGCGGACATTTTCTTCACTTCGGCGCCTAAAAAATTATATGCGAAGCACCATGGTTCAGGACCGTCTAAATGGTTTAGCATTAATGAATATTCATTCAGAAATAGTTATAGATATCAATAAAGTCATTGATAAGTTTGCCACTAATAATCGTAGATTAACTTTCAAATAAATATAAAATATATTATAAAATTTTTTTTTAAATAAAAAAATGCAAAATACTAAAAAAAAACAGTGCAAAAAAAGTCAGCTTCTTTTGCCAATGGTAAAAAAAACGGCTATTTTCATAGCCACACACTTTTATAAAACATTATTTGGCATAAAGGAATTATTAACATACATTGAGTTGCATACATGTTGGTTTCAGGTATATCGTTTTTTTTATGCTGTGTTGAAATGATTATATTGTAAATGTTTTTATCTTTTGAACTGATTTTTTCAGATTTTATATATTTTGCAAGCCTCAATAGAATTAAGATTTTAAAATCTACTTTTGCTATGCAAAATAAAATACTAAGAATGTGGCAATTTCTGTATATATAATTCAACTTTAATTATTAAAATATATAGTTATTTCTGTTATTTATATTTGTTACAATATAAACAAATTATATAATTATTTACAATAAAAATATAAAATGTGTAAGTTTATAATTTAATAATGAAATGTGTAAATATAAATCTAGTTTGTCATAATAAGTTTGTAAATATTATGTAAACATAATTTTACTATGGTAAGGTGCCCAAGCGATATCCTTGCGTATTTTTAGGCCTATATATATATATATATATATAAATATATATATATATATATATATATATATATATATACATATATATATATATATATATACATATATATATATATATATATATATATATATATATATATATATATATATATATATATATATATATATATATATATATATATATATATATATATATATATATATATATATATATATATATATATTAACAGGGCCGTCACTAGGAGAGGGGGGTGTCTAACCCCTTACCAAAACTTTGTTGAAAAATTAGTCGGCAAATTTGGACTTGTAGTCTGCAAGTTTGGAACTATAGTCGGCATATGTCAGTAAACGAGAATCATACGTCACCTTCTCCCCCCCCCCCCTCCTTCTTTTTTTTCTTCGGGACGGCCCTGTAATTTATCCCCTCCAACTCCGGAATAGTTGAGGGGGGGAGGGGGGAGGGGGAGAATGAAATGTTGCTCGTAAAAAAATCAGATGTACCCAAATAATTTCCTGGATCCGCCCCTGCATTGCCTAACCTTTAATACACTTGTAATGTTGCGTAGTTGTAAACTTAAGCTTGCCTTTTAATCCATCTTTACTAAATAAGTTTTGGACTTGTGGCACCATTAACTGGTTTAAAACATTTTTGACAGTTTTGCGTGCTGTTGCTGTTGCACATTTGAGTGATCTGAAAAATTGATAAATCGTTAAATCTAATAAGGTCTAAAATTTAATAACATAAAACTTAAATTTTATTTTGACACCTAACATTTTCACAAACACAATATTTTAACTTGAATCTTTAGCAGGAACATAAAAGATTCCTGTTTCATTAGAGTTGACCACAAATAACATACAACAACGTTGTATGTAATTTGTGGTCAACTGTTTTTATCACCTGTTTTAATAGTATATAGAATACACTCCTGGAAAGTTTAATGCCTTGTTTTTCACAGCACTAGAACCTGCTCTGAGAAATTCCTCTTCTTCATTAAAACACCTAATATCTCTGTGTAGGATTGTAATTATGGAACCCACATCAGTAGCACTACTTTTTGGCTTTGTTTCTATGTTGTCCAAACGCTCCATTATTCTAAGTTGATTTTGCTGCAGCAAATCTAGCTTCATTAGCATGACATACTGAAACTCTAAACATAAATTCTTCATTTGTATTAAAGCAAACATTTGTATTAAAGCAAAATTTATAAAACAAGAGATAAAATTAGCTTTTAAAACTAGAGAAAGATTATTTGATCAGAGAAATAAGATCATCACAAACCTTAATTTCATGCAAAAACTTACGTTTATTTATCATTTCCTTAAATGAAACACCACCATCACCTATCTTGAAAGATGTTGGATTTTTGTTAAAGTGGTTCGATTCTAAATCCAATGATTGTTGGAAATCTTCATTCGATCTTGGCTGTATTACACAGCCCACTTTACTTTTTTTCCATGGAGATATAAGTGGCACATCCAATTGAATTGGTGATGAAGAACCAAATGTTGTGAACTTTAAAGCATGCAAATTTGGACTAGGAACTTGTTTCTTTGGGTTGAGCATATTTGAAACTATAAAATCAAAAAACATAGAATAAAAAACAAAACAATCCCAAACACACCCAATACCCAACATATTAGAGCTCTATACACATTATCATAAATTGCGTTGGTCTCATTTTATAAATTTTTTCTTTTTACTATACTAATTTCTTCAAGGTCCAAGGGCAACTACTATTTAATTTTTGTTAAAACCTTATCTCAAGCCTATAACTGTTAAAAAATAACCTTGTTGAACAAGAAATTACATAAACAAGTTCCTGAAAATATTAACTTTTCACAAATTTTATAACAGTATAGCATCTGATAAAAAATAATGCAAATAGTTTTTAAACAAACCAATAGATACACTTACCAGGGCGGTCATCATTTTCATCTTCAGTCAAAATGTTTAGCATTGCCTGACATGTTTTATAACTTCCACACTCCAAAATAAATTCTAACAATACAAACTCCTGCAAGCCAGGTTCTGGACTAGCCCATTCAGATAAATAAATACCCACAGTTTTTTTTCCTCGAGGGGGATAGTATACTATACCTTCCTCTGCATTAACCCAGTGAGTAGGTACTACTGTCTTAGTGTCAATACCATCTTCTTTAATTACAATGGTACTGTACAACCTACAATTTTAGATAATTATAAATTAAATAGCAAATAAGTCATAACAATTAAACTATTTATTCTCTACAATATATCAATGCAGAATTGCAACTTTTTTTTATTTTGAATTGTTTTGAGGATAAATTTTCCGTGTTTATAAAACATAAATGATTCTAGAAATAAGCTTTGTAGTTAAAAAATGGATAAACCTTCAATATATATATATATATATATATATATATATATATATATATATATATATATATATATATATATATATATATATATATATATATATATATATATATATATATACATATATGTATATATATATATATATATACATATATGTATATATATATATATATATATATATGTATATATATATATATATATATATATATATATATATATATGTATGTATATATATATATATATATATATATATATATATATATATATATATATATATATATATATATATATATATATATATATATATATATATATATATATATATATATATATATAAAACAAAAAATACACAATTTCAAAAATTCACCTTATTTAATAAAGATATTACAACTTTGTTATTTTTATATGGAATACACACACATTTTCTAAGTAAGTCATGCATGTTAATTGTTTGCATTACTGGACTACAATTATGGTTTTGATATAGTATATATTAAGTATCTTAGACTCTACAAAGCTGTCAAAGAAATTATTTGAATGATTCTTTTTATAGATGTCACAAACTAATTGATCATTTGGTAAAAGATTTTTAACAAAAACAACAAAATATTTTGTCATGAAACAAGCATTCTTGGAAACATCAATTTTAGTTATTAATTTTGCTTTACGTGGATCATCTGATTTATGTTCGTTAAGCGTTTTGCAAGTTCTATTAAACGGTTTTGTTTACCTCGTACTAATCTTTTTAAATGTTGCAAAAAATTCTTAAACTAGAAGCAAGAAATCTCGTCCAAACTACTTTCAAAATGTTCAACATCATCTGTTATATGCAGAAGACAGTGAACATTGTAGACACAAAATGTGTCACCAAAATGTTCATGAGCGTTTGACACAAAATACTCCAAGAGTTTTTTTGCATGGCTCAAATAAGTTCTCCTAACATTATTATTCTCCTCACACAACATGCGGATTGCTAAAGATAAGCTGAGAAAATGTTTCTACATCTTAGGATTAAGAATATTCTTTAAAACAACGATACCCACATATAGTAAGAATGTTCTTAGTTCTGTGGCTTTCCATCTATTGACATCTTCTAAAGATCTTGTTTGATGCACAAAATCTGATGGCAATGTCCCGCTTAAATTAATGAGTAAATGAGAAATCTCTTTCAAATAAGGTGTTGATAAACGACCATTAAATATTTGGGCATATGCACCTTTGTAGTAGTATAACATACGTCTCATAACACCTAAATTAACTAAGTGCATATAGTCAAGAGCAAAATTCTGAATCATGTCTAAATCTTCAATGTCAAACAGTGGAGTTCGTGTATGATGATGGCACCGACCATATTTATCTTGTTGAGAGTATAATCCGGCTTTTAAATCGGCACTGTTTCTATTTGTAACTGTTTCATGACATTTATCATAAACAATACGACCATAAACATAAAAACCACGCAAATTGCATCTCTCACATGCATAGTATCCAGAATGTTCAACTGTGCCTTTTAAGAGTGCCTTAGCAGGAGCATCACATGTTATTGCTAACAAAGAAATATTGAAAATTCTACCAAATATTTCTTCTGGCTGTTTGAAAGTTTTTACCTCTTCTGCAAAATCTGCTAATAATTCAGAAGCACATGGCTTTATTTCACCGCCATACAATCCAACAACAAACGGTTTAAAACATCCAAATTGACAAAGTATAGGCCAAACTTGGTAGGCACTGTATTCAAAGAGCGGTAGACTATCTACATTACATATAAGATTAATTTTAGTGGAGATAAAGTCTTGAACTTGCAATATATTTTCAATACCTTGTTTTATGCCAAAATAAATGTATTGGGTTGTAACATAAGTTCGTCAAGTTTTTTCATAAAGATTTATTTGAACAAAAAACAATAATTATAAATTATAAATATATCATTGATTAATTTATTATTGTAATTTATAATAATAAATTAATCAATGATATATTCTCTGTTACTGTTTACGACCTCCTCCCATCTCTCAACCAATTTGTTGATGCCGTTTCGCCAAAAATCGATTGGTCTGGTGTCGAAGAAGTTGTTGAGCCAGTTTTTAAGATCCTCTTCGCCATCAAAGGTAACACCCCTCATTTGGTTTGATAGAGAGCGGAAAAGGTGATAGTCGGTAAGTGCAAGATCCGGAGAGTATGGTGGATGCTAAAGAACCTCCCATTTAAGCTCTTGGAGTGCTGTTTTGACGACTTGGGCAATATGGAGCCTGGCATTGTCGTGGAGCAAGATGACTTGACCTTGTCTATCAGGTTTTTTCAGCCGAATAGCCTCATTTACACGGTTCAGCTGGGCAATGTAGACCTCCTTTGACAGTGGCATTTTGTTCGAGCATTTCCCAGTGCACCATGCCTTCCCAGTCCCACCAAACGCAGATCATGGCCTTTTTTTGGGTGAAGACTTTGCTTGACTCTCGGCTTCAGCGTCTCTCCTGGGGCCACCGACTCCTTTCTTTGCTTCACATTGACGTACATACACCATTTCTCATCTCCCATGATGATTCGATACAAAAAGCGCTGTTTGTGTCCATGTGTTGCTTGGTGGCGGGCGAGATGTTGAGCAGCAATTTGAAAGCATTTTTCTTTGTTTTCTTCGTTGAGCTCGTGAGGTACCCATGCTCCGAGTTTTTGAGTAAAACTAATTGATTGAAGGTGGCGAGAGATTGTCATTGCACTGATGTTCATTTTTTTAGCCAATTCACAAGTTGTTTGGTGACCATCTTCCTTCAATAGTGCCTTCAGATGCTCTTCGTTAAATTCTGCAGGTCATCCGCTTCGAGGCGTGTCTTCAAGGTCAAAGTCGCCATTTTTAAACTTTGCGAACCATTTTTGTGCAGTAGGCACACCTAAGACACCTTCCCCATACACACTGCATATGTCCCGAGCGGCTTCGGCTGCCAGAAAAAAGACGAACAATTAAATTATTCAAAAAAACAAATAAAACCGTTTTGTAGACGAGAAAGAGCTCTTTCGAATGAATGTATACACTTTGCTAAAAAACAAAACAAATCGTTGTAAAATACCTCTAACGCAAAACTCTACAAACTTATGTTACAACCCAATAATTTCCATTTTTTAAAAGTGCTGTTTTCACAACTCTTCTTGTACACAAAAGTGTCCTTGCATCTTTTAGCATTTCCTGGTGCCCATGACGATTTAAAATTGTCAATAAATCATTGGTACATTGCCTTTTGCAGTTGTGTTTTGAACTCCAATTTTTTATTTCATTTTGAAAAATAACTGCTTCAAATGGCTCTTTTTCAATATCACTATTGTTTAAAGACAAATACATTTTATCCTGATCAGCGCCTTTAATATCTATGAATCTCTCTCCCTGATTTTTAATAATTGAATCAGAAGACAAAACATATTTTTGTAGTACCGTGTTACTAAATGTTGGCTCTAAGGCATTAGTTAAACTTGGATACATACCATTTTCTGCAACAAAATTATATACAGATTCATTAACTGCACTCTTTAAGTCTTCAAAATCTGAACTTTTTAAATCTTCCTTTCTAATAAAAGAATGGTGAAATTCACAAACAACTTTTTTAGAATTTCGCCAGTCTGTAAGCCGCTTTCTACTAAATTTAAATAATCTATTAGTTCAACTTATACATAAAATATAAATAAGATGCAACTATATGGCTGCATCTTACTGCGTCTTATAAATATAAATATAAATATATATATATATATATATATATATATACATTTATATATATATATATATATATATATATATATATATATATATATATATATATATATATATATATATATATATATATATATATATATATATATCCTTATAGTGTAGTCGAAAGAGTCTTTTAATGTAAAAAAAGATTCTTTCGACTACAATTTTAATTACCTCGTCTCTTAAGCTGTTTTTGATTGTCGTCGAAATGTCAAAGCAATTAAATTAATGCGGAAGTACATTAAATTTTATTGTTTTTTAAAAAAATTTTAAAAAACCGCAATTATAACGACTAGAAAGTTTTTTTTAATTAGTGGTGTTTTTGTTTTATTAACATTTTTAAAACATGCGTAAATGTTGCTACATCAACTATCTTATAGCCTGACTCGCAACGGAGTGCTGCTACATCGACTGACAAATAGCCTGACTCGCAACGGAGTGCTGCTACATCGACTGACAAATAGCCTGACTCGCAAGGTGAGCGAAAGATACTATGACTCAAAATGAGGTTTTAATTTTTCAAAAATTGAATACCAGATATATTACTGATTTGGGGAGAAATGTAGGAGAGTGCTGCTACATTGACTAATTTATGGATACCATGCAAGGAAACGCTGCTACATCGACTGAGGGTTTGGGTTGGGGCAGGTATAGATCAATCGATATAGCAGCACTCTCCTACATTTTTTCCAAATCAGTAATATATCTGGTCTTCGTTTTTTTGAAAAATCAAAACCTCATTTTGAGTCATAGTATCTTTCGCTCACCGACTCGCAAGGGAATGCTGCTACATCGACTGACAAATAGCCTGACTTTATATATATTTATTATATATATAAATATATATAATATATATATATATATATATATATATATATATATATATATATATATATATATATATATATATATATATATATATAATCACAATATATATTATGAAAAAAGGTTATTACATTTCATGGATATTTAGAAATAGTATTAGTACTAACCTAAAGTTAAAATTGTATAATAATATTAAAACAATTATAATGAGGCCAATAACAAAATCAGCAATGTTTACAATACTATTTATATTAATAAATATAATACTATATTAATAATAGAGAGAGGGTAATAACCACAACTAGCCTCCTCATCTGTAATAGCCTTCTTGGCCTTGGGGAGGTGAGTTACCAAAAAAAAAAAACATTTTATAATAATAACAATAATAAAAGTAATAATAATTTTGATAAGTATTAAAACTAAATATTAAACAATAAAAATAAGTAATAATATATGAATAATAGTAAAATGTTATAATATTACTATTACATAAAATAATATTTTTATTACATAAATAATATTACTATTACATAAAACAATATTTTTATTACCTAAAATAACACAAAAAGTAATAATAATAACCCACAATGAGCCCAATATTTTACAAACAGTATCTTTCCAAAAGTAGACATAAAGACCGGTTTTAGTAATAAGGTTTAGTGATTCAAAGTGAAGAGGCAATCTATTCCACGATTTTATGCATTGGTTTGTGAATTATTATTTACGTACATAACTAAGTAATGATTGAGGATATATAATTTAAGGATAAGTAATGATTGAGGATATTATAATTTAAATATATTTGATGGAAGATAATAACAAGAACTTTTTATAGCAGTAAAGAAATAATAGATTGAGGGAGGTAGGTTAACTTGTGCCTGATTGCAGACAAATAGACAATTTAATAGATGAACAAGAGCACACAATTTGATGATTTTGGATAGAAGGTAAAGGATATTAATCTTTAGAACAATATTCTTGAAAGTATATTATTTTAAATGTTTTGATTAAATATTTTTAAAAAACTACTGGTTGATAAGTAGTGCATAGAGTATTATATTAGTATACATATTAAAGTGTTTGTAGTATGTTTGAGAAATGAAATTTATATTGGATAAAAGAGATATGCTTTTTACTATTAATATATATTTATCTTTAGAAAAGTATATTGCTGATTTAATAGTTTATTGTTCTAATTGGTCATATGGTTCATTATCAAAGTTACACATGTTAGAAGATAGTGTTATTCAATTTATAAAAAAATAGTCTTCTTAAATCCCACAATCAAAAACTAACCCTATAAACAGAAAGCTTAAACCAACCTTTAGAAAAAGAATATATTGCAATTATAAACTTTTAAAAAAGAAAGTCTAAATAATGTAATAAAAAAAATATATATATAATAATTATAATATATATAGCTAAGATTGCCTAAAACTCTCTATTGAACAAAAAAAAGGTTTGCACTTTTGTATTTTTTATAATTAAAATTAAAAGAAAAATTTTGTTAGAAATGTTTATTTTGTCTTTGTCTTTTTTGGAATTCTTTTACTTGATCTTTTCTCAATGAATATGTAATTTTTTATTATAAAAAATATTGTTAACAATACGAAATCTATACTTGATTCCCCATTTTTGGTGGTTTTTATTTGTAAAATTATTACTGCTAGATCAAATCTTTAAAATTTGTTTCACAAATTTTTAATTGAAAAAGAATGACTGCAATGTTTTATTAGAGAAATAACATAAAATACTAAAAAGATGACAAATAAAATTAGACAGAGGTTGAATTGAATATATAGGTACTTCTCTTTATAAAGTACGTTTATTGATCATAAGTTTTACATTAAAATCTTTTTGTTAATTTTTACCATTATTACTTGCTTTAGTATATATATATCTGTGCTATCTTCAGAAAGGTGACAGTAGTATTTATGTAGACAACTAAGAAATATTTTGCATAATATTTTTTAAGGATTATCAAAATTCTGATAAATATTTTCTGGGAAAACCTGCCAAAATTGTTTTACTAATGCATATTTCTAAAAGACTCACAAAAAGTCTACTACTGGTCATTTAACTATACTTACTAAAATCTAGCTTTAAAGGATCACTTTGTAAATTGGAACAATAAACAAATGTAAAGCCTTCTTCAAGGAAATCATGCATAAGAAATACAATTGCTTGTAGTGTTGTAATTAGAGCACAAGAAGTTTGTTTGGTTAAAGTATTTATCAAATTTTATTTTGATCAAATTTCAGTACAATTTGCAATTTCTCAATAAAGAGTGGGTTTGTTATCACCTTTCAAAGCAACACTGCTGAGTTTGATTGGATGAATTAAGTTTCTGCTTTGAATTAAGTATGATAAATAACTTATAAAACAATGATAAAAATTGTGCTGCGTTATTTCTTTGAGAAAAATAACTCTAAATTACAGCTGCAGTTGTTTCGTCAAATATTGTCAATGTTGACAACTTGTTTTTTGTTTTCAAAATATGTGACTTGATAATTAATTTTTATTGCTTTTTCTTGCCTGTTTAAAAATTGATCTTTTAATAAATCAGCAGTAACTTCATCAAGAAGAAAAAAACAAAAACCGAGAATAACAAGTATGTTTTAAACACTCCTTTTCTAAACTAAATGATAAATTAATACTTTTCCATCTCCAGTATATGCTTTATTAAACTACAAAAATGCATTAACATTTGTAGAATGGTTATCGGTAACAACAGCTCATATCTTAAATTCAGATTGGTGCATTGAGGTAATATACTCATCAATTTCTTTTTTCAAACATAAACCAGTTATGTAAACTTTAGATGAGGATTTCAAAACATAAGAATAAATTCTTGAAGCCCTACAATCATAAAAACAAAAAACTTCTTTAAAAACTTCTTTAAAAAGATTATTTTCTCAATCTTCATCAAATCACTTACCACTTTGATAATGCTTTTTGGAAGTACATCTTACCCACTAGAAGCAAATAATCTCTTGATTCCAAATTTTTGTCAATGATTTTTCTAATATATTATAGTTTTTCAATTTGTAATTTTCAAGATTGCGAAACCAGTTAAATAAAGAAATATGATAAGCATTTATTTGGCAATGAAAAAAATTAGAAATTTATTAACAGCTATTGACTCCAAAACAGTTGGTATGCCTGATATTTCTTGCCTACTGTAAATAAACGGCCTGATTTGTTGCATTTTAATTACTGTATGTTTGAGACATGCAGCATAATAAAGTATTTACATTGGAAAACCTTGTTTTGCAGTGTAAATATTTTAAAGAAAAGTTTATGTTTTCTACTTAATAATTGCAATTATATTAAATACAAAATTACAAACCTTTAAAATTATTTCCAATGGAGAATTTTGAGTAGTTTTAGCAATATGTAAGATTATTTTTAGTAGCATGTTGGTATGTGTTGATATAGCTATCTGAAAGCCTATTTCAGTATTCTTTGTTATTGGAATAAACTAAAGCAGGCAATCAGTTAACAAAAAATTTAGCACAAAATAATGTAAGTTCTCAAAGAAAATCTAACTATTATTAAACTATTTGAATAAAATAAAGATAAAACAACTATAGTGCAAACAAGACTCTTAACCATAACAAAAATGAAGTTTTTATGGTTAGTGCTATTTAATGTCGTTCATTCTAACATTTCCGATTTTGAAGAAATCGCAGACCTAGAACTGTTTTTTGGAATGTTATACGCATGCGTTACTTTCATGTTATTTCTAACAACATTAAATTTTCGAAACCTCGTGGCGCACGTAGTTAAAGTTAAGGTACTTCTAATTATTTACTATTTTTTATCGTTTTGTAATATTATATGTAATAATTTAAGTGTAATGTTATGTGCACTTGTTATTGGATTATATATATATATATATATATATATATATATATATATATATATATATATATATATATATATATATATATATATATATATATATATATATATATATATATATATATATATATATATGTATATATATATATATATATATATATATATATATATATATATATATATATATATATATATATATATATATATATATATATATATATATATATATATATATATGATTTGTTGTATATATATTGATTATATATATTACGCAGTTGTTGCTTTACATATTTCAAACAATATTAAAATTTCAAATTTCAATTTTTTTTAAATTTCAGTTACAAGCATTGGTAAGACTTTTCGTGTTTAGGTCTTTTTGAATATTAGATACAATATTAGATAATGTAAAGTTGTTTTAAAAATATTGTTTAAAAGATATCATCACAGAGGTTTCTATAAATCAAAAATACAGGTAGTTTATGTATATAGTTTTGATTAGCATTTAGTTATTGCATTGTTGTATAGTTTTGAATAATTTTTTAAAGTATGAAATATTAGAGATTCTAAATTCTTTTTGACTCCTTAATTGTTCATGTTTTTTGGTTTTGTTTTTGGATAAAATAATTAGAAAATGCCTAAAAATACATGTATTTTTCAATTAAAATGGCTTGTTGACAGAAAAGACGGAAACTGTTATGATTTTCAGTTATTGTACTAAAGACAATAATACTGCTATCATAGAAAAAGCTGCTTTAACTTCGCACATGGAAGGTAAAAAGCACATAGAGAGATCTCCTTCTGCAAACAATATCAAGCCATTAATGCCAACTGCTACTAACACTGTTTTAGTTAATGAGTTTATGTCAAAATGCTCAAATAAAGCAGAACATCAAAAAAAAATAATTATAAAATGCTAATAAATACATATACGCTAGAAGCTGAAGTTTGTTGGCTTCTTAATATTGTTTATTCTAAATATTTAATGAATTCTTCAGCTGATTCTGGTAAAATATTTTGTAAAATGTTTCCAGATAATCATTGCTAAGTTGTTTCAATGTGGACCCACCAATGCCAGTTATGTTGAAACATTCGGATTAGCTTACTTTTTAAAAAACGAGTTGCTCACTTTCCTATCTAATACATCTTATTACGCTGTTACAAAAGGAAATCAAGGATTTGTACAATCAAAAGATGATTTACAAGAAAAAAAGATGATTCATGAAATTTATAAATTCACTGCTAAATCTTAAAAGTATATTTTTGCAGTTATAGAGTATATTTTTGAGTTATAGTTATATGAGTTATACATTTTGAGTTAATTATGTAGTTATAGAGCATATTTTTGTAGTTATAGAGTTTTAGTTTTTGTTTTGTTGTTTTGCTAAAACCGTATTTATATTATGAGTATTTGAAATGATTAAGATGTTTTTGAAATTAGTTGCATTAAAAGTTTCCTTTCAAATAAAAAATAGTTCCTTGTTAAATTTTATTTGAATTTACATTTAGTTATTCAGTGCTTGTAGCTATATTTAAGTAGCTGTAATATATTTCTTTATTCTACATTTGATTTCTAAATTAATTTACATTTAGTAGCGTATTTTGTGTTATCTTTGGGCTATCTATAAAAAAGTCTATAAAAACTTTTTATATTGTACGTCCTAGAAATAATGAAGCAAATATCCTGGTAAAAGAAAAAAATTGTCCTGGGTAATCCTGGAATTTCAATAGTTTTTTCTGGTGTGAACCCTGTTCAAAACAAAATTCCTTTGGATTAACTAAAGAGGGCCTCTTTTCTAGATGCTTTTCTTTGTTGATCCAGAGATTATAGCAAGAAAATTTATATTTAAAGATATAGCACAGCTAATCTAATATTGAACAGTTCTGTAAATTTATATATAAATCAATAAAACTGCATCAGTCTTCCAAAGATTTATTAGTAGTATAAATGTTAGTATATAAAAATAATGATAAGCTACAGTATTGTGCAAATTGATTGCATCAAAAAAATTTTTTTTAATTATTTGTTGTTTCATTTTTATTTGTTTGTTAATTAGTCAAAAGTAAATTTTTAAAAAAGGCGGGCAGGTATTTCAGGCACACCCTTTAGTATGTCCGTAAAAAATGCTTATATAAAACAAGTATTGTTGAAAACCCTTACCCATACCCTTACCAAATCTCAACCCTGAAAGTTAGGGTTACGCTCTGGGTTTGGTTTGCGTTCCTTGTATGTTACCGCAGGGCCTCATGTGGTGCCTTACACTACTAATGCAATTATTGATCAATAATACAAAATGCGTTTATTGATTTCACTATCATTATACATTTTCATCATCCAAAAGATAGTATCATATTGCAATATCTGTGACACCAAAAGTATCATTAATATGGACAACCATAAGGTTGTTACAGGTTGCATAAAATGCTTTAGATATGTTCAGAAACTGGTGGTAAAAGCACCAAGAACAACAGCAAATTATTGCCTAACTTATAGATCTTCTTTCTGACTAACTATAATGATATCATTAACACCGAACTAAATAATTCAACAATAAATCATTTAATGTTTTATATAATTAATTTTATTTTCTTGTATTATTTATTTAGAATTATATAGACTATTGTATGAAACGTTTAATGTAAATATTACTCACTATATATTAATATATGGAATAATTTTTTAGAATCCAATAATTAAGCTGAGATGTCGTCAGGTAACATTTCAATAATTACTCTCTTTTGTTACTTATCAAATCATTCATTTCAAGTACATCAATTGTTAAAAGTAATCTAGTTCTAATTTTGTTATAGAAGAGTCAGAGCCAACTCGCTCAAGATCATGTGGATCAAAGAAAAGTATAAAAATTTCTATTCACAGTATTTTAAAGATATTACTTTATTATGTATCATCTTTTTGTAATTACATTTTGTACTTAAAATAAAGTTTTTATAACTATTGTTATAACCTTTTAGAATTGAAGAAAAGGGAAGAGGTTTCGTCGTCAGGTAAAAAAAAAACAAATAAATAATTACTCTTCTGTTACTTATCAAATCATTCATTTCAAGTACATCAATTGTTAAAAGTAATCTAGTTCTAATTTTGTTATAGAAGAATCGGAGCCGACTAGATCAAGATCTAGTGGATCAAAGAAAAGTATAAAATTTCTTATTTGCAGTATTTTTTAAGATAATACTTTATGATGTATCATCATTTTGTAATTTTCTATTTTATTCCATTTTTAGCTGTAGAAAAAATGCTGCTTCAGTTAAGTGAGTTTTATCAATAATTTTTTTGTTTTTTGAGTCTTATCATTTGTTTTTTTATTTTAGTAAACATGCATGTATCCAAGACTATTGACCATATCGTTTTGATTGCTATATAATTTATCTCATTGTTTAAAAAGTACTATTAACAATCATCAACAATTTCCACTTGAATTAAGTGTCTTTGATATGTCAATCAAATTACTTTGTCTTATGCAATAGGCAACTTAATACATACATATTTTGGTATGTGTTTTGGGCACTGGTTAAATCATTTGATATCATGTCAGTGAATTTACATTTATAATAGAGAAATATTTATAAAAATATAAAAAAAATAGTTTTTTTTTTTTTTTGTAAAACAAAAGTTTTGCTTATGTTATAATGAATTTTTTCTTTTTGTTGTTTTAGTGGAACTGCAAAAAGATACCTGTACGTTTTTAATGTTATCGTTTATTTGTTGTAGAAACTTAAAGTGATCTTTTATATAACATGTTTACTTCAATTTTAAAAAATTAAATCATTTTTCATTTCATTTACCTCTTTAGTACTACGTGTGAAGCAATTAGAAGAAGATTAAGGTTTTTTAAGTTCTACTTTATACTAGATAGATATTTAAACTATATAAACTATCCTATTATTAAACTGAAATATTTGCATTTACTTTTCAGATACAGTAACGTTTTCTTCACAAGCCACAAACGGTATTGGTATTATTTTGAGTGTGATACTTTAAAAATCATACATTACATATTCCTTACATATTTTGTTTATTCCAATGTTAGATTTGTCCTACGATGGCTATCGTATTTACCGTCGACGGCATCGTGGGCCCACTTCCTACAGCTCCTACAGGAAGTGGGTCAACAATAACGGAGTTGACAACTCCTCCTTTAATTGGAAGGGAAGAATGAGAGGAGGCGGCAGAGGTCGGGGTGGGTGGCATAATCATAAAAATTTTTACTTATTTAAACTTTAAATATATTGTAAATAAATGTTTAGTTTTTCTTGTTGTTTAAGAACGTCAATTTTGTTTTTTCAAAAAAGTGACAACGGATTTCTAATACACTGAATTGACATTTACTAAATTAACATTAACAAAAGCGGATCTCAACGCTAATAAAACATTTTTTGCATTTGTTAATTAAATTAATCTAATTTAAATGTCATAAATTAATTAAATTAATCTAATTTAATGTCTTGCTTGCCTTCAAAGTACAAGTCCGATTTGGTATCTCTTTTGACTGGAAGAAAAAGTCTTATATCCTATGTAAATTAACATTTATTCTTTTTAAATTAAAATTAAAACTTTTATATGCTAATACACGTATTTGCATAGTAGCCCTCTAATATTGGCCTATGGAATGCTTATTG